CGTTGCAGCACGTGACAAGATTTCCTCCTTTTTTAAGGCTTCATAGCATTGCATTGTATGTATCTACCACATTTGCCTTATCTATTCATCTGTCAGGGGACACTTGGGTTGCTTCTCCTCTCGGTTATTGTTAGTAATGCTACAGTGAACATGGCTGTGCAAACAGTTCTTTGAGATCCTGCTTTAAGAGATTTGTTTTTAATGATGACCTTTCATAAAATGAAGCAAAAGAATTAAGAAAATTCAACCAGCAAAAATTTACTAGAAAAACGGAATCATTTTAGTAGGTTAAAGACAAATGTCTTAGAAGAATATGAGTAAACTTTAGCATGGAGATTTAAAGCTTAGACTTGTTTGTTTGTTACATTAAAAAAGAAGAAGAAGAAGAAATGAAAAAGAGGCCAAACTCACTAATACACAAAAACTGATACTTAACTTCAAAATAATTTACAACAAATGGTCTGCCCATAAACTACAAGACTATCATTTATATTAAAATGAAACCAAATCAAAAGCCTGCCTGGGTAGAAACATTTTATCTGAAATGAGCTTTCAATAAGCAGAGTCAAACACAATCTATGAACAACTATCTGTTCATGCTTTTTGAAAAGCTGAAATAGTTTTATATTTACCCCTGTGTTAAACATCTCATGTGATTAATATTGTGTAAGTTTAATGTAGTAATTATATGGCAATAAACTTAGCTTGTCTGACTTGCCGCAGTAGCTCATAAAGTGAATATCCTCAGAAAAAATGATTATATTATACTAATAGTAAATCAACCTTATTAAAAAGCAACAATACTAAAACAATACAATAGACAAAGTGTTTAAAGCTATCCACTCTACCAAATGTCACTCACACATACACCAGAACTCAGTGCAACTGATCTCAACAGTAATAGTTCAGCACAGATATTCCCAGTATGAAAGGTATGAAAGTCGATTATTTTTCAAGAAAGCTTTCTACACGCATAGCTACCTTAATCTGCCTGTTAATAGAACTTAGTTCCATTGAAATAAACATCAGAGAAATAAAATAATTTTTTCAAGACTTCTAGAACCTATGGTAAAAACGTTAAATGAAGAAACAAGGAAAGTGGCACAGATCAGCTAACAAAATAATTTTAGACGTAAGCTTTATAAGAATTTGCTCTGCGACACTGAGCGAGTTCTATTAGCCCTGTGCTCCATCTACCTCCATAAGTGAACGAGGCTATTCACACAAGCTAACACCAATGAATGAGAACCATTTTGGAAACTAATTTGGAAAAAAAATTAAGTTAAATCTCTGCCTCACACCATACACAAAAATGAGTACCAGTTCAATTAAAGGGTTAAATATAAAAAAATAAAGCTGAAAAACTAAGAATATTTTATCATGTTAGGGTAGGGAAGAATTCCCTAAGCAAGCACAAAACATAGAAGCCATAAAGGCTCATCAATTTCACTCCATAAACATTTAAAAGGTTTATTAGTATTTAAAATTTTTTAAAAAATCTTTTTATTTCTGTTGCTTCACACCAAAGAACATGGCACTCAATGTTAAAACATAAGGACCGGGAGAAAATAATTAAAACATTTCAACAGACAAAGGTTAATATTAACACTTTATAAAGGGCTCCCACAAAGCTTCCAAAACAGACAATCCAATGAAAAATGGGAATAACATGTAATTAGATGGTACACAAAATAAAAATCAATGGCCTATAAACTAACAAAAGATACTCCATCTCATTAGTAAGCAGAAAGGTGCAAATTAAAACAATGAAATATTAGAGTTGCAAAAAATTAAAGATAAAAAATGTTACTGTCATCAAAGCTGTGGAGAAATGGGCACTCTCATCCGCTGTTGATGGAAATGAACACTATTGATATAGCGTTTCTGGAAGGTAATTTGATAGCAGCTACCTCCATGTAAAAAACACATGCCCATGAAGTGAAAAGCTCTGTCTCTAGATATCTATTTTAGAAACAAACACCTGTGTATAAAGATATAAGAATAAGGATGTTCAATAAAATATTATTTGTAATAATCAAAGAAGTGAAAGCCACCAAAATATCTATTAGAGAAGAATTACAGTACATCCATTCAACAGAATGTTCTGCAGATGTTTAAAAGAACAAAGTAGACTGCAAAAGATGTCAAATTAAAAAAGTGAATCTCAGGGCCCAGCCCCGTGGCCGAGTGGTTAAGTTCACACGCTCTGCTGTGGTGGCTCAGGTTTCGCTGGTTCGGATCCTGGGCGCAGACATGGCACCACTCATTAGGCCACGCTGAGGCGGCGTCCCACATGCCACAACTAGAAGGACCCACAACTAAAATATACAACTACGTAATGGGGGGATTTGGGGAGAAAAAGCAGAAAAAAAGGCGAATCTCAGAATTATGTTAGGAAAAAACCTATTTAGTTGTTGTTTTAAAATATACAGAAATGAGGGCCAGCCCAGTGGCACAGCAGTTAAGTTCGCAAGTTCTGCTTTGGTGGCCCCGGATTTGCCAGTTCAGATCCCAGGTGTGGACCTATGCACCGCTGGGCAAGCCATGCTGTGGCAGGCGTCCCACATATAAAGTAGAGGAAGATGGGCACGGATGTCAGCTCAGGGCCAATTTTCTTCAGCAAAAAGAGGAGGATTGGTGACAGATGTTAGCTCAAGGCTAATCTTCCTCAAAAAAAAAAAAGAGAAAATATATACAGAAATGTGTAGGAAGGTTAGGAGGGGAAGGAGGGTAAAGAAGCGTCTCACTTTTACTTCTAAATTCACTTTAGAATGTTTTCTGACAATCATGTATTACTTTTATCGTTAAAAAAATAAAAGAATAAGTGGGAATTTCATAAATCATTCAGCAATGTGTCACTTCCAGAATCTAAAATGTAATATTCAATTGCTAGATCTACTAACCAGGATTCAATCATCCTTTGCCAACGGCAGTTCTGAGATACAAATTTTTTTTTTAATCTTTTTATTTCTGTTGTCTCACACCAAAGAACATAGCACCTTTGCTCCTCACTCCCACAGAAGAGTGGGCAGGTCTCCAGGAGGAACGCCTAGTGAGAAGATTCATTTCTGCTTTATCATTTCAGTATATGATAGCAGACAAAGCCCAGAAACAAAAACAAAAACAAAAACAGGACAGGATTCATCCGTGAAAAGGCAGTATGAGGCTTGTGAAACAAACCAAAGGAGCACGGCGAGGATACAACACAGGACAGTTCAAGAACGCTGGGGCTGTTTGAAGCTCTCTAAAAGAGGTACAGTTCACATAACATAAAACTTGTGGGAGTCTGCCCCAGCAATGTTTCCTTAATGGCTAAAGAAGCTGATCGAGGATAGGGGTTACTGGAGCAGGTTTTTAAAGATAAAGACTGGTTTGTTTGGGAAATGGATACCCTCCAGAGAACAGAACTTTCATCTGTGTTTTAAAAATAGGCTTAATGCCATTTTCATTGTTTCCCCCATCTCCCTCTTATCCATGAGACTTTGATCTTGACAACTGTAGTTTTGCTAACCACAGTACTTTTCAGGAACATAGCTCCCAAGGTTGGCAAAGGATTGGGATTCAAGAGATATTATAAAACACTTTAAAGTCAGAAAGATCCTGGTTCAAATCTTAACTTCCACTTGAAGCTGCATTACCATGGGCCAGTATGGGATCTCTGAATAAAATGGAGACACTGTAATAAGTGGAAATAACTCACACAGCATGTAGGAAAAGTATTCTGTGCACAGAAAACCCTAGTCAGATGGGAGGTATGATATGATTTTTATATTATAAGACCTTTGACCAGAGCGAGGGGGTGGGGGAGTAGGCATAGGGCGGGGAGAAGCACCTGAAGTGTTCCTGTAATTCCACTGGGACTAGACGTTTGGCATTCTAACTTGCTAAAGCTGAATTGATTCCATCAGCCCTGCAGAATATAAGTGCATTTGACAGAATACAGCAAAGTTAGGATTTATATTGTAAGCTATTTTTAAAACTGCCTGGTTAGCAAATTAAACCAGCTGTGAAAATATCCTGGTTTCCATTCACAACAAATACAAGACAAACATTCTCCTTTAATGAACCTGGCCTCGTGGCAGCATAGCATATTCTGCATAATTCATTCCTAAGGGTTTCAGAGACCTAATTTTCATAATACACACCAAAACTAAACTATTTTCTAGGAAGGAAAAAAAAGATGAGAGAAAGGAGTTTCTCTCTACAGATTTTCGGTAAATTCCATGAATCACTGTCCTATTCAACTTAGAAGACTACTGTCTGAATAAAAAATAGCAGTTATGTCAGTACTTTAAGCCAGTCCTAACTGTTTTTCCTTTAAAAGGGCATATGAAACACCAGTCTGCTCTGCAACACAATTTTTCAAGTTCTGTGACAGAGGGAGGAAAAAAATCTACTCGCTGCCACCAAAAAACTACTCCCAATTTCAGATTTAAGACTTATCACTCTTTAAGAAGTCAGGGGAGAGATCCTGAATTATTTAGAATGTTGGCTAAGTTATATTATTTATAATTCCTGTTCCTTTAGGGAAACAATTTGTTATTTAAACAAAGATCAGAAGTATAAATAACTAAATGGAGTAGAATTTCAGGAAGCACTATTCAAATAAATGCACACTTGGAGAGCAGGGAAACAGTCTATTAATTTAGTTCACTTCATAAAGACACTGCTAAGAAAAGGATATACCATTTTACACTTTCTTTGGAAATCAACCAGGCTGAATTAGTTCCATTTAGACCATCCTGAGCCTTAAAGCCTTTGCTAAAGCGTAACATAAATTTTGATTAGTCAAGCGTGAAAAACTACAAAGTCAACTTTCTTGTCCCTCCAGTTAGTCTGTCTATAAATAGAAGCAATGCATTAACAGCCACCAAAGCAACTGGTGAGTTCCACAATGTGCCCAACATATACATCCCCTACAAACACACTCTCAGCATGTTTAACCAAAGTGCTTCTGAAGATGTGTAATGAGACCCCTTTTTAAATACACTGTGACTCACTGTTTGCTTTCTTCACCAGGAGGTGGAGTCTTGCCATGCCCTTCCATTACAAAATCCTCCTGTTCCACCTGCAAAGGCAAGCACCACAGGTCAGCAGAAGTCAGTAACTAAGATGCGGCTCGCTCCACAGTGCCAGGGCCTTGCCCTTGCAGAACTGCATGGCCATTTCACTATAGTGCCTAGCACAGAACCCCAGGCCAATGGTTTTCTCTCCACGTTTAAGGCATCTCTCCTTGGGTGACTAGATTTGCAGAATAAAAAGGGAAGAAGCATGCTGATTTGCAACTCATATAACTGTGACAAAGAATTAGCATTCAGAATATGATAAAGAATTGCTATGATTTGATAAGAAAAAGACAATCTACCGGAAAAATTTACAAAACAACTGAGTAGAAATTTCATTGGAGAGGATGCATAAATGGTCCTAAATGTATGAAAAGATGTCCAATCTCATGTTAATCAGGAAAACCACAAAGAAATACCATTCCACAACTACCAGGTTGGCTAAAATTAAATAGTTGGGCAATACCAAGTGTTGACAAGGATGCAGAACAATAGCAACTTTCATCCCTTCCTGGTGGGAGGGAAAATTGGTACCACTACTTTTAAAAAATTTGCCATCATCTAGCAGACTTGAATGTGTATTTACTGATAAACTAGTGGTTACACTTCTAGGTATGCAGCCTAAACTTTTGCACAGACAAAAAATTATTTTTAATAGCATTATTTTTAACAGAAAAAAATACAGCAACAAACAAAAATCAACAGTAAAATAGATAAATAGGCTACGGTATTTTCAGCCAACAGAATATTATACTACATGAAAATGAATGAGCTACAGCAACACCCTCAACCTGGATGAGTTACAAAAGCACAATATTGGGGGAAACAGCAAGTCACAAAAATATACAGTGTAATTCTATTAACACAAAGCTCAAATATATACGTTTTAAAACCACGTGTGTGTGTATATATATAGACATACACATCTATATATGGTTTGTAAAACTATAAAGAAAAGGGAATGACCATTACAAAATTTAGGCTAGTGAATGTCTTAGGAAGGGAGGGCATTTGATCAGGAGGGGGCACATGGGGGGTTCCGGGGTCTGGTTATCTTCTATTCTGGGCCTATGTAGAAGATATATGAGTGTTTGTTTTATAATTATTCTTTTAACTGTATAATTATGTCTTTTAACTGTTTTCTTTCCTCTTGTATATGTTCGGTTTATTTCTCAATATAAATTTTCAAAGGGGAAAAAAAGCATTTTACTATTCCAGATGGTTTATTGATCAATAAATAGTGGAGACAGAGCTACCTCCACAAACGGGGACTGTCTAGTCCTACAAAAACTCCTCCAAAAGGCATAATTTTCAAAAACTAAACAGATGTATTCAAGGAGTAGATAGGACTATTCCCAACTCTGAAAAATACAGTCCATTTCTTACAGGACCTAATAATCCGGAAGACAGACAACGGCAACATACATACACACTGTAACGAAACCCAAATAAAACGGAAGGCTTTCCAGCTCTGCCATCCTCCCCACGGTCTTCATTTCTCAGAAATACTAGAGAAGATGGGATCGTACTCAGAGGCTAAGTTTCAAAAAGTACAGAAAAATTGAGAGGTTTGCTTTATTTCCATTACAAAGAGAAACTGGAGCAAGTGTAAGCAAGAATAATAAAAGACACACTGCATAGTGAAATTCAAACCAGGATTTGACTTTTCCTCTCTTATGGACTTCCTGAGTCTGCAGCCTACAGAGCTTTGCCAAGCAGAGGGAGGATTCTCCCATCCTAAATTTACACAGTGATCTAAAACCTCTAGAAGAAAAAACAGGGTTACAGACTTGCAGAGGGAAACTTATGAGGCTATCTTGATCTGGGTTGTGGTTACAGAAGTGTACACATACGTGAAAAAAAATCACTGAGCTGTGCATTTTATGCACTTATCTGTACAAATGTTATGCCTTAATTAGAAAAACAAGTGACAAATTGTTTAAATTTACTGAGTTCCTTGGAATCTCAAGCCTAAATTATTTGCTCAAGCCTAAATTATTTGCTCTATTCTCCCACCTATATATATTATGAAATTTTCTTGATTCTTTATCTTTAAAAGTCCTGTCCAATTAAAGAGCTCTAAATTGTGGACCTCAGCCACTGCTTGCTATTTAAAAAAAAAAAAAAGGCTTATCTATAATCAATTTTTAATTAGCACAATGAAAGCTATGCCACCGGTATTTCAAATACCAGCAGGGTCACCCCATGGTGGACAGGTTTCAGGGGAGCTTCCAGACTAAGACAGACCAGGAAGAAGGACCTGGCCACCCACTTCCAAAAAAATTGGCCATGAGAACCCTATGAATAGCAGCAGAGCATTGTCTGACACAGCGCTGGAAGGGGAGAGGATGGCACAGAAAGCCTGGGTAGGGTTCCGCTCTGCCGTACACAGGGTTGCTAGCAGTCAGAATCAACTCAACTGGCACCAACGAAAAAATTAGCACAATAGTGATGAGAAGTAATAATCAAAAAGTCCACAACTTCAACAACCTCCCCTACATTCGCTTCCAAATCTTTAACTACCCCACGTTTTGCCTAATAGTCTTCTTCACTTGGATGGCCCAGTAGGTCCAAAATGAAACATCATCTTTGTCCTCAAATTTCCTCTCCTTTTTATATCCCCTATCTCTGTGACTGGTACCATCATTCACTAAGCTCCTCAAACAGGAAACCTATAATTTCAAATAAACCTATAAACTTCAAATTCCTACTCATTCCTATAAATGCCAATTAAAATGCTTTTCCCCAGGAGACACCATCTCCTTCACCAAGGTTCACACCTTTCCTCCATCATCTCAGAAGGCAATAAAAATGGTCCAGAAAGATCATTGCTCCTTATTGCCACTTTCTGTTTTTCTCAAGTCCCCTTCTGGTCCTTTCACATCCTTATTTCTTTTTTCTACAAATTTCTTGAATACTTTTGGACTGAATTTGATGGTCTCCACCACTCCCCTTTCCCTTGACCTAATTTTCAGGGGTTTCAATAATTTTATTCATAAAACTTAAACCATATCCTCACCTTTCTCCGACTACCATTCCTTCATTCAACAAATATTTACTGAGCACATATCACAGGCCAGGTGCTGTGCTGAGATAATGGTGAAGAAGACAGTCTTTGCCCTCAGAAAACTTACAGATTAGTGGGAAAGACAAAAACTAGACAATTACAATACAGTGTGAGAATGCAATCAAAGAACAGGAAGGGCACTTCATTCAATCTAGAGGAATCAGACGCTCTAGAGCTATCTTAGGCAGGTGACCCATCTCCTTCCTACTTTAGCTAGGAAAGGCGCAGGACCCAGGGCTGGCCTCACCATCAGTCTGTACCGCTCCACACTGAGGTCCGTGAACTCCAAATCCGACTCAGAGTACACGCGCCTCCTCCACTCCCTCCCTCCATTTGAACCTGTCAGGAGTCCTCATGTAACTCGAGTTCTCCAGGTCTTCTGTTTCCTCAGAGTCCACTCAGAGCCTCGTCTGACAGGCGTTTCTGTGAATTTTCTCCTTAATGTTCTAGATTTGCTCACCACCAACCTGTTTGCAGAACATTGCTGTCTTGCCAATGCCTTCTCTTTTTCTCTTCTGCTCCTGGAGAGCAGAGCATGGCTGGAGAAAGTTACAAAACTGGTTCTTTTACAAACATAGGCCAGTTAACTTCTACTCGGTGCTGACGTTCCAGCACCTCTGAGTGGAAGGCCCTTCTTCACCCTGTTTTTCTGGTGAACTTCTCGACCTTCAAAGACTGGTTCAAAGTTACCTCTTCTAGGAAGCATTTTCTGACGTCTCCTGGCACTTCTTCCTCCCCTTCCAAGGTGCTCTTTCCCATTACCCAGCGAGGCTCAGCCATCAGCTGTGGTCCTTCATTCACTCACTTCCCCCCTGCTGGTGAGCCGAGGAAGGAAAACAACATAATCTTTGTCTTTATCCCAGAATCAAACACAGCCCTTCTTAGTGGTCATTCATTCATTCAGCACGCCTTCTGAATGCCTTCTACGCGCTAAGCACTGCATTGCATGACTAAGTGAACGTCTGACCTAGTACACCCATTCCTCACTCATTTATCCTACTTTTCCTCTTCTCCTCAAAGACTCCAGACCCATCCCTTAGGCATCCTTCCTAGTCCATCCTTTCTGAAGATGACAATGCCTATGATTACCTCGAGAGCCTATCTCACACCAAGCCCCTCACTTTTTCTCCTCATGTCTATATTATAAACCTGCATCTTCACCCATTTTTTTGCCCTCTCTACTGCTCTGCAAGGCTAACCTCACCCCCTGTATTCTAAACTCATGACCTGCACTACACCACCTCCTCCAGGACCTTACTATCTAAGGACTCTTCCTTCTCCCATTCCCGTAAATCTATCCCCTCAACCCACAATTTTTTTGGGGGGGGGTGAGGAATAATAGCCCTGAGCTCACGTCTGTGCTCATCTTCCTCTATTTTGTATGTGGGTCACCGCCACAACACAGCTGGATGAGTGGTTTAGGTCTGTGCCTGGCATCCGAACCTGTAAACCCCAGGCCACCAAAGCAGAGCATGCCGAACTAAACCTCCGCACCACTGGGCCAGCCTCGGACAAAAATTTTAGAATCTCTTCTATTCTGAAAAATTATTTTTGGCCTTGTGATACGCTCCAAATATCCTATTTTTACCCTTCCCTCTACTTTCCAAATTCTTAAAAGAATAAACTATACCTCATTACTTCCATGTTCTCATCACTGATCTGCTTTTTAAAAATTAAATTTTCATTGAAGTAATACATATATATGATTTTAAAAGCCAAATAATACCACCAAGCTTATAAACAAAAACAGCACTCTCTTCTGCTGCCCTGCCCTCCCCAGCACAGCTGCACCCCCTTCTCCCACTCTCCCAATGTAAGTTACCATTTTTGTTCAAATCGGTATTCAGTGCTGACAGTGCTATTACTAAGTAAATAATATATACAGTTGACTCATATGGAATAGTATAATTAAATTTCCTTTCTTGTTTAATTTTTCGT